AACACTTTTATAATTATCTAAGATAGAGTCGAGTGTAGAATAATCCATAAATTTTAACAAGTATACATCTATGACATTTCCTGAAGAAAACTAATTAACGAATTTGTAGTTAATTGATAAACACTTTATTTTGGATAATGAAATACATCCCAATTATGAAAATATATCTAAATGGAACATATATTTAAGAGTATATGTACAAGAACTCATTAGTAATCAATAATTGTCCAAGTTTGATTTACTTATTTTTCTCATTTCTTTACAACATTTGGTGAATATAATAATAATAATAACAGTAATAATAATCATGATCTTAGAGATAATCCATTTGTAGCATTTATAGAATCTAAGCATGCAGATCAGTAATAAACAGTATTTATTTAAAAATGTAATTTCTTTGTCATAATTTAACTTAGGTATACATCATATATATGTACAAAACTCCAATAAACAGGTTACTGATTTTATGTTTAATATTTTTCACACTACGTGTAAACAGACAAATTTGTATACGAGTGAACAAGGAATATAAAATTTAACAAGTGAACAGTTCTGTTTTGAAAATGAAAGGGCTAGTTTAAAGTAAGATAAAAAAATACTAAACACTTAGATATAAACATATGGTACACTAGTAGTTACAATCATTCTAGTCCAAACTGTGCTAGATAATATGAGACTGAGTTAATTTTGTTTATCTCTTTTTACTACGTCGGTACAAAATTTAATATCTTGAGTTAGTGCACATCCGTTTCAGGTATCTACATTTTTTATGAATGACTGATTATTTTATGCAATTTAAATTGTATCTTAATCCTCGATAGAATTTAGCCTACACAGTGTCCTTTATCCCAACTATAGCTGCTCTCTTGGCGTGGTGAACGGGTTTTTATGTCCCAGTAATCTAGTCAAGTTATATTAAGTACAACGGTCGTTCCTTCAGGTTGTAGCACGTCAGACAGGTCAGTTGGAGAATGATGAAACCAAAAGCAGGAAATCCAAGGTACGAGGGTGAAGTCACACTGACAACTGTCTAAAGATATGGTAGCAGTAGGGTTGTTACTTCAGATGACGAGAATCTGTAGCAGTGCTACTTCTTCACAACCAATGAAGGATCTAGAGTAAATCAGCCTTAAAATCAGCTCGCCTCGCTATTCCTTCATGCATCTGTGAACTCGGAGACAAGGCCTTAAAAGTATGGAGCTAGCTTATAAAATCCTGCTAAAAAGGACGTATGTGACCAGCCCTAAGCAGTTGTTTCTTGAGCTCTATGGTCACGCTTCCATGCTTTCAAATCTACAATTAACCCAGTTTGGTTTTCGGCCCTCTCAAAAACAAGCGTCCTCCCATTTTATAAGCAACGAAAAGTAACAGTCACCCTCATAACTCTAATAGGGCTCAAAATCACACTGTTTTTAGTATCTGGATGTTTTAACATGAATGTCTACGGTCTTTTTTAACATGTTAACAATATTATCGTTTTGTACTTATGGATAAAGGTCGATTATCAGCTCACCAAAAACTTATGGAAGACAATTGTTTTTATACCACCACTTGAAATGTAAATGTCTTAGGCTGATTAGTTTGCAGTTCTTCAGAATTTAGTGATTTTTGATGACTCACACTGTATTTTATTTACTATTTATTTGAACAAATAAACATTGGTTCAAAGGGATACCAAAAACATATGCGTCACAACATAAACATGAAGTTGTAAAGAGATGGCGAAGTGAAGGTGAGTATGATAAAAAAAAGAACAAAATGGGGCAGAAGTTAGTGTATGAAAGTGAAAGAACAATAATAGTGGTCGAATCAGTTCAGTTAAGAAAAATACAATCAAAAAGAATTTTTTTCAGTTAAAGAAGTTACTCTCACTTTTATAAAGAAAGTAAACGAAGGTTACAGAGAGATCACCACGGGTTTATACTTTGAGTTATGTCTGGTAACGTCTCAAGACACTGTGTGACACCATCTCTAAGACTCCAACCACAGAATTGTGAGCGACCAACAGAGGCCAGTTCTGTACAGCTTACCGTCATACAAACACATCATATCATACACTGACCAACTCTCCGCTTTTCCAACCAGTTCTAGTGTCCGTAAATAAAGCACGATGTGGAATTCTCTGGAACGACATTCGTATTATATGTACAACACACCGAAGTCGGTGTTTTGAAACAGTGTCACAAAATGAATTATTATCGCTTTGGCCGAACACATCTTGTCGAACCTCGGGACTAGTAACATAGTATTGTAATTTAATGTCAGCAATCCTTTCGAGACAACGATGATCAAACACAGAGAGTTGTCTGATATCCTCAACTAGGAGAGCATGGAGCGAAACTACTCTCACCGATGCATTGTAGATCTGACCGTTTTCAACCGGACTAACATCACGAAGACGCCAAAGATAGCCCAGATTGACATAAGCCATTCTGGCTTTCACTATGCATGAATTGATCTCACCACACACACCACCATCAACACTTAAACAGCTACTCAGATACACGGACTCTTCGACTACTCCCATCTGCTGGCTACTACGAGTGAGTGGAAGCACAAGATCTTTCCAGTCTTTTAAAATTAGTTCTTACTTAGAAGGTGCAAAGCACATGTCATACTTACGGACAGTAATTGTCAACTGTTTGGATGGGTATTGCATGGCTTGTGTATCATCGCACAGGAAACTAAATTACGCTCACTTCAGTCTCGTTGTAATCTGACAGAGTTTTATTTTGGCAAGACGGAAATATTAAAATATAATGATTTTATGCAATATACCTAATCTACCACAAATGTTTCATGTAAGAAAAGATTGACTAATTTTGTGAATCGCTTACAGTTTCCACCTGAGGTATTCCGTTCAAATATCAACCCTATCATGACCACGCCCTCAGAATACATGATATTAATACTTTTCAACATACCTAGTCAGAATCCATTTTTTGAATTCAGTACTCAGTACAATATTGCAATCTACTAATTTATTAAACAAACTACACTCTTAACATATGACAAATATACTCTATATAAACACTGGGAGTTTGAAACTCATTCGTATAACAAGCAAGTTATTTCACGTAACAACAACTTATACTTAGATTTATAATCAATTAGTATATTTAAGCACATATATTTATAAAGTGATTATAATTAACACGTAAGTGCCACTTTTAAAATAAAAGTACATCATGAAATGAACATGAATAAGTGAAAAAGTTCCATTATTTTTTCTCGAGCTGCTAAAAAGTGTATAAAGTGTGTATTGTGTTTTCGCTTGTTATTTATGCCACATTATGTGTTCATTGGTGAAGATCTGTGTTGATGAAAAGATTCATGTGGTAAAACAGAGGCCATATAGTTCTACGAACATGCTACTATTGAGATGGACAGCTGAACACAATACAATTTAAATGTTAACTTAAAGACAGTAATATACTTACTAGTTTTATTTCAATGTAGAAAAACATCAAGACAAAAAACTTAATCGTATCATATTTTAGTCTCCGATCAAGTAATAATATAAACCGATGTTGAGTAACTTAAGGCATCATACTGACCAAAGAAATCTATAGAAGCCTAACCACTTTTAAAAGTTGGAACCAAAAAAATTACTAATAACAAATGATAGATAATGTTTCCTACAAGTAATTTACTTTACGGACTTAATTATGAAGATTGTACATACAGAATTTAAAGTGACTTGTCATAGACTGTTGTATTAATTTTATAAACAAAATATCTATCATCTACTTGAAGTAATTGTCGTTTTTATTTGAAAATGGTGTAAGTTGGACAATTTCCTAAAGGAATTGAGTTTTCTCAAATAAACGCTTTTATGATTATAGTATCTAACAAAATAATATCTACATTGGTATCACTTAACAGATAACATTTTTCACCAATAAACATCAAAAAACTAACAGACTATATATGTCACAATAAGTCATCAATTGAATGTTCACTAGTTAACTGAAAAGCAATAGAAAACTGTTTCATTCTAAGTTGAAACTCCCGAAGGTGTATACATGACCTATAGTTATTAAGTTCATATCAGTGAAGTAATTTGGATATACATTATATTTAACTAACGACCGCTTATATCAACTGACTATGCCCGATGGAGTAAAACATAGAGTGCTGAAAACTTTAAGTTGGTCGAAGTAAGATATAACTGTTATTTTGATCTCTGAAGAATGATTCACTGTTTTATTCTTATGTTAAATTACATACTATCTTGTAAGTAAATGTTATTGAAGTCACTTTAATCTGCTATTATTTGAAATCTCTAGAAAGTGCCCTTCATTTTTTATAGAACCATCGGGTTATTATAACTGATTTCCAAACTATTGACGTGTTTTCAAAGTGTTGACTACAAAATTTAGATTAGACAATTTCAGGCTAGTAATACTAATAACAGTGTTTATTAAGTCAAAATGATACCACTATTCATTGTTCCATTCCAATTTTACGACTAATACATTTAAAAATACTTTCTAAACCAAATAAGTATTTCGAAACTGTATCATAAAATTTAATGGGGAACGTAGATACTGATTTCGTAGTTTATTCTTTACCAACTCTTGAGTAACTGTTTGACTTTTTTTCATTCTTGTACACATTTTTAATTGCTACAATATATTTTGTATTATCTGTATAGGGTTGTGGAGATTGTTGGGTTTAGATTGATATCATGAATGGATCAATGTTAGACCACCATTGAAAACCTGGGAGAATTGGACGGCCGTATCAGTGATCTAGATGTTAAGCGTTCGAGCGCGAGGCCGAAGGTCCTGGGTTCTAGTCCCGCGTGCGGAATCGTGGATGCGCACTGCTGAGGAATCCTATATTCCGTGTTGTTTATTGTTCAAATAAATCATTGAACAAGCTTATCACAGTATTATCCGGTAGAATAATGACCTATTTTATTTTATTTTTAAGTTTATTTGCATTGTATTACATCCTAGTTTCTTTTTTTAATATCTTTGTATATGCATTTGAAGGAGTTGACTGGATATCCACCAGCAAATTATTTACAGCATACACATGCTTATTATGAAGCGCTGGAAGCATTCAAAAAAATACATGGGGATGATTTATCCGATCAGATTTATGATATGATCACGAATAATGATTCGGGTTTGCGGCTAAAAAATAAAGGTAAATAGAAGAATTAATAATTTTTTGTCATCGTAGCCACTCTCCCTCCCTCTCTCTCCCTGTATATACATATTGTTTGAAGTTAAGTGACATCGGTACTGATTATCAGTAAATTTTAGACAGATACAGACACATTCATATTAGATGAAATGAACTTTGTGAATCTTACCTATCGTCAGTTATCATGTTGTCTACTGACTAAAACCTCCGTGAATTTATCTAGAAGCTAACTACAAGTAGATATATTGTTATTGTTTGATAAGCCTTTTTCTGATGACAGTAGTTTGTTTGGATGGCTATTATCATGGACAACGGTTCAATATACCCTAGTTTTCACCGAATGTCCAGCTGATATCATCTTCACTACTGAACTACTCTCACAACAATCCATTTAGTCAAACATTAAGTCGTTCTATAACAATACTAAAATAGTAATACTATATTTTTCGTATCTCATGAGTAGAAAACTGGATTTCTAAAATTTGACACGGTTCAGTTAAAGTAACTGCAAAAATGATTTAACATGTCTATCTTGCTATCATAATCGTTAATGAATGCACCCAATGTTGATGGCGTTTTTACTTATTTATGTATATTCATATATTGAAAAGTACAAAAAACAATGGGAGTAAAGCATACCATTTTATTTATTCACTACATAACACGTGATCGACAAAATTGATTGTTTATATTGGTCGTTATCCACTACAGTCAATTTATAACAATGTAAGATATAGAGGTTCGTTTTTTTTCATGAAGGGGTATCATGAAGTAAATAAAAGTACGTAAAACATTCTGATCATATGATTGCCCTTCATATTTTCTACGAAAATAACTTTTATTGTTCATAAAACGAATAATGTCAAACTTTTTAATATGCCAAAAATGGTCTATTATATAAGAATATGCTTGTTGGTGAACTGTGATTCTAATCAAAATGAACACATTAGTGACAGAGAAATGAGATAATTGCAAAGTAATTGTGATTATGAACTGATATCATCTGTATAGACTTCGGAAATCAGGGTAGAATATAAAGTTGATCCGTTCTGATTTCAACGTTTGAGGACGATGAACCCATAACTCCATATAGGATCTTATTCGGAACAGTCACATTCAACGATCACATAAAGTAACCAACTGATACCATGGTGTCTATTTTGGTCAGTTTCCCCTTATACTTTCGTAAATAAATAGTGTATTATATATGTTAGTCATGTATCTTGATGATAAATTGAATGTTAAAAAATGGTTAAATAATCTAGGAAACCGTTCGTCTAACATAACCTTTTCATGGATTTTAGTTCATTTACAGTAATTGGAATCTTTCCACCTGAGTAACAACAGTATTGTCATAACATAAACATCGGTTTGAATGGAAGAATATAATGCATCAATTAACGGACGTTTCTATTACATTCATTTACAAGATATATCTTTCTGCTACAATTATAGACCTATTCGATCAATTGTGATATATCTAAATTATTTTACATTACACAGTTTAAAATAGGACTTCAGAACATTTAAGGAATTAATATAATTCCTATATCATCTGAGATCACTACAAGACATTTTAACCTAAGTTTCGTAAAAAAATTAATTTATTTTGTTAGACCGTTCAACTAACTGAAGATCCTTAATCGGACAGGATCTTTTTTTTTCCTGTTATAATCAACGTCACCACACATGCTACTAAATCTCGATTATTTATGCATCCATTATAGTTTGTTAATAGATTGTAAATTTTATTGAGATTTTCGGAAATTCAAGTTTTTATTGGGCTTGGAAACATCATTCGTTTAGACTATTACAAAATGACAACATAATAAATGAAATTAGGCAAATTTATCCTTAAGAATCTATCATCATTTTTCACGATTAATGGTAAATGTAATAATCGCAAATTGGTTTTATTGGATTCTATCTTAGATGACTTATCAAATTGTTCACAGATAATTTTTAACCTGAAATGGTTTCATTTGGAGGTTCTTGGAAATTGAGAGATCATTAGACAATAAGTCAGTCCATGTTTGTAACCATTCATGACTATCCGCACTCTATCGCATATAGGATGGAACCTAGAACTTACAAACTTCGAGGGAGTCTCAATACAAATTGACCATCTAGCGAAAATCCAATTGTTCATAATTTTCAGCTCCATTCAGTTGGTGACAGTGTATGATTCATACTCAATTTTGTCTATGGATTAGTCTTTTTTTTCCTTTTAAAATAAAATAGATTTTCGTAAATATTAAACTAATTATTAAACTAAAAGTAAAATTTTGTTCAATATTCTAACCAGTAAGTGGCATTAATTATGTTGATAAATATAACTATTCCAAAGAAAATGGTTACTGCTTCATGATAATTATGAACATACCGAGTTTTGTGTTTCCTTTTTAAAACATAACAATAGGATTATTCAAGTTTTTTTATTTTGTTTATTGAACAATTATCGTATTAAGGTGGCACAAAGTTAAATAGCATTTGTAACTTTGATTATAGAAGCCTTTCATTAAAGATAAAAATCTTAGTTACTTTTAACAAGTCATAATTGTAATATTCATAAATCTTCTGACTGAATGCTTGAACCGGTTTCCTCTTCTAATAACCCCAGAATAAATCTACACGACAACTTGAACTCGAGAGGAAAGGCCCGAAATTTGGAAAGAACGCTTAACACTAAGGTTAGCTTGTGTACAGAAAGTCGAGGGTATTTATAGTATTTCAGATGGCCTTGGGTTTCTGGAAGATTCTGGAACCCTTTCGAAGATAGTAACAGGGTATGTATCCGCTTGTGGGATCGCAGATGTGCACTGCTGAGTAGTCCTACACTATGAAACAACCATCCAGTCCTTCCATGTTTTCACTGGTGATCTAACATTGATCGGTTCATAATCTCAATCAATACACTTTATTGAATTATTTGAAGATAGGTGTTTGAGCTTACTGTCAATCATGATATTATTATATTGTAATCTCAAGAAAATATTAGTTCTTCTCTTCGTATCTTTTTATAATTCGGTTCCACCAATTTGATTTTCACTTCTTTTGTACTTACTGATTTTTAATGTTTTTCTTAGGTCGTCATGCTAAATCAACAAATTTCATTCCTGTGCGTGGAAGTCGACTACAAGAAACAAGTTTCATGTTATCACCAAGAATAATGCGTAGAGCTAGTATAAAACTTTCATCATCAGTTAACTGTCTCTTGAAAACTAGTCATTCATCATTGTTTATAGAAGATTTATGCAACCAACATCATGGACAATCTATGCCTTGTGATGAAGATAATTCAAGTCAAGTAAGAAGAATTAAAACTACGCTACAGAAATGATTTTACTTCGATAAAGTTATTTACAGTGATGATTTTTATCATTGTTAAATAAGTATAAAAAAGAGATGGCTAACTATCATAAACATTAATTAAGCTTATCGATATCAATTACATTTAGGTCATACTAACCGCTAAATAAACAATAAGATATTTGTTAAGATAGGTTAACATTATTATTTGATTCAGTCACCAGAAATCCACTACAATATCACAGTATATAAAGCAACGGATATTGATTAGTATTGCTGTTTTCAGTCAAATGATATGTTATTTCTTAGGTGAATATTGATAACAAAAAGTAGTATATTTGGACAGTATTCATACTCAACTGTATCATACCAATAGATTAACAAATAAGTATTCCCGATGTAAAAGGGTATTACATTAGCAGACATAATTTTGTATGTTCAGTGTAAACACTAATTTTCAATGAGATTTTATTAAAGTTATCTAAATTTTTGTTAAATAAACTAAAATCTTTTTACCCATGACTATTCGGTCCTATAAATAATAATAACAGTGTTGTGAGAATAAGAATTGATGCTTGGTGTGAAGCACTCCATATTCCAAACTTACTGAACTGGGAAAAAAATTATTGGATTCTAACTTGGTGATTTGAATATAAGACCTTTTCCTCGAAAACTGAATGGTGTGGTTCGATCCTGTACATAGTCATAGATCCGCACTAATGAGTAATCACAAGTTAGGAAATAACAACCGTTTACATTGGTTCCCTGACTGATATCAGTTAATGATGGAAAATGTCTTGTTAGTGAGAAATTAAAAACTATAGTCATCAATATAATTCCCTGAGAATATAACTGTTGAGATGTCAATGTCTGTACATGTCATATTTTGTCTTGGATTATGACGCACCTTGGATTTCAACTTACCTTTAAAAAAATAAAACTAGAAGAATTATGTACTTGTGGATGTTGATTTTAACACAATAGATACGGCTCATAGTGTATAATGTGAATCTCAACATTATTCCTTTATTGCATTTAACCTTCTGCCTACAGTATTTCGTAAGAAGGTTCCCTTAATTCTGCCAAGGTTACTCAAACACTAAGACCTATCTAAAAATGCATTTGATCATTATACTTTACCGACTAATCATGTATGTATAATAGTTATCTCTATAATTTTATTTCTAGATTTTAGAGGATCAAAACAATTCCATTCATTTTATAAAAGATAATCATAATGATACAACAAATTCAATAGCGCCAACTAAAAAGTTGATAAAAGAAGGTACTATCATGCAAAAATTGAACAAATCAATCCCTTTATCACTTAAGTCACGCTTTACAACTAATTTAGTGAAATCCAATTATGATATGCATACATCTGCCTCCAGTCCATCTTTATGTGATTCTGGAATCTTCCTGCGTCAGACAATTGAAACAACAACCACGAAAACAACAGTAGAAACGACCACAGAAGCCCAGTTCTCCTCATCTCCACCGTCATCAGTATCAACAATCTTAACAAATACAACACAACCATTATCAAGCCAATCTAATAAGATCATTGCTGTCATTAACCCTAAAGAAGAAATTTGTAATCCTTATAATTTTAAAGATATACAGCAGGCTATCTCATGGCTTGAAGTTGAATTGAATGCTGTTAAAAATATAATGCTGGCTAATATGAAATGCGCAGATGAGAATAAAAAAAATAAAGCATCTCGTAAAGCCTACAAATTAGCGGCTAAACGTAACCAAGAAACTGTAAGTCAATAATAAGTCGATGATTTTAGATTCTATCATGTTGCAATGGTCATTAATTTATTAATCACAAATGATTTACTATTTCTAATGATTATAGACCTGGGAGATTGTTAATTATTAATTTTTATCGAAAGTCGATTCATTTATATGAAGTTCGTGGTTCAGTATTCCATTTATTTTCTACGTAATTGTGTACATGATTCATGCTGTTGTAATATGAAGATTATGGATAAGTGGTTTGCCAAGAATAGACAAACTTGTTTGGAGATCATGATGTCTATTTTGTCCAACAAAGTATTGAGTATGTTTATGCTTACAAATAGATGGTGATATCGAGTCAACCTGATCAGAATGAACATATACCAACAGTGACTGATTAATTACAGCCTTTCATATCAACAACCGGAAAATATAAATCATTAAACATAATTTATTACTTATCAATAGCAGGTTGGATTTTATTATTAATAGCTTGGGTTGTTGCTTAGATGAACTCAATCGAGTAATGCCTTGTTACACATACTCATTGTTGTATCCTGATACATTTGAATATAGCTGCATTAAAATAGATGAATATCTCCTGATATGATATACTATTACGTCAGTTTCAACACTGTCCTGTATATTTGCCTATCCCATTTTGTTTGAATATATTAAGTCTGACAAAGTTATTGATAAAAACCTATTTTCAATACATATAACATTCTCATGATAGTTTATTGACCACTTAACTAGATGACTATAGGATCACGTAATAACTCCGTTAGTTGTACTAAGACGTCTTGAAACTCTTGAAAGATGAAAAATCAAACGAACTATCCATGATTCATTTTTATGACGTGAACCTTCATCAAATTTACCAGAAATCTAGAATTTAGTATTCTGTACTGTCTTGTGTAAAATCGTACTTTTAGGCTTTGCACTACTCTATACGGTTATCTGATCGTCTACACGAAACAAAACTCGATCGTATCAAACTAAAAATGAATTTAAGACTTCATAAATGCTCTACTTCTTTCCTTACAACTATCTTAATTAAAGTAGTTAATTGAAAAGCTAAGCTGATTAACCACACTGATGAGTTAACTGTTTATCGACAGTGGTCTAGTGATTAAAGTACTCAGGTTTAGGCTGGTGGATCTTCAGCAGGAATTCCGCTCTACTTACTAGTGCTTGAATATCCGGGTGTTATCTTCAACCTCCACATTAAAAAATATCAGTCAAAACCAAGTACATAAAGTTGTTTTTAGTCGATGTATTATATCACCAACCTCATCTAACAACTAAGTTAATTAAAGTTGGGTGACTTTCTAACTCACATTAGCTTATGCAATAGATAGACATCTTCAAAATTCATTGACTTAGTCTATACTAACCTGGTCAGTGGGTTTTGTTGTATCACAAGTATGAATTATAGGAAAAGTGATGACTTACTGAGTCAAATTAATTAGTTAAAATTTTTTGTATTAAGTCAGTCATAGAAAATTCATTTTTGGAGAAATATTTTGTTAGTTGCATAATGGAATTTCAAATTAAAAGCATCACCAAACCATTCATAAGGTTTGCTCTCTGAACTACAAGGACTCAGATTCTAGTAGTTTACGTCTTTTACTTCAACCAGTTTCTCGTGCCGTTTATTACAACATACAAGGTATGTTAAAGTGGGGATTTTGTACAAAACCAAAATAATAATAATGATAATACTGATAATAATAAACAAATACTTACTACCAAATGCCTTTGTGACCAACTTCACAAAGTTCTGTAGGGAGTTAGTGATATGTGAAGTTGGAGCAGAACAAGACTATGGGTAAAATGATTGGATGTCTATTGATAGAGATAACATACTGTTTAATATAATTTGTATACACGACCTTTTCATCATCCATTTGTATCTTGCAATGTATTCTGCAATCCAAACTGTCTTCTCGTCTGGTCATCAAGTGTTCTGCATACGCCGCACTTTTAACATGCTGAGGCTTTCCACTCTCTCCGAGGACTGTGACAACTTTGAGGCTATGTTCTGCCACATACTACTTACATACAATCTTGTAAGTAGCGTCCGCCGCACTGGAAGTGGTATGGTGATTCAACAGTGGTACAAGGATAAGGATCACACTAAATCACTAGTACATATGAAGTCAAAAATCTGGAGTATTGTATTTCTACACAGCAGCTGGATCGATACCGTATTTACTGGAACGTTAAGCATTCTGGTTTGCGTAGAGTTGTGCTGACAAACCACGAATAAATCAGTGTACAAAACTTCACGAAACGACAACGTAAATAAACAGTCGTATGATAAATTATTTCTGTCCAAGTTCATTATATCTCTTTATGAATGTTTTTTATCATAGACATATCAGTTGGGATATCATTAAAAGCTAGGATACCATAAATAATGGTAACCCAACCGAGACAAATCTGTGATGAATACAGCCCACAAATTGATCTGATCTCCACAAAACTCATTTAATTGTTTTATACTTCAAATTTTAGATAACTAACCTTGAGAATCAAATACATGGCCTACAAATGTATACACAAAAACGCGAACTATTCAAATGCTCAAAATATGAAAATACATCAATATGTAATTCTGATCATTATTCAACCGGTCAGTCGCTACTCAAAGTGTCCTCGTCATCTTTATCTTCTCAATTATGCTCCTGTTCACCATCATCTTCATTATTACCAAGTGAACGTAGGTCAATTGATCAATCGACGAATGAGATCCCCTCGAAAATAAACATTCTAAAAAAATATAGTGAGAAATTTAACCATTCATCCATCACTCATTCCAGTGTAAAAGATTTATTATTCACGCAAAGAGATGTTGATGATGGAAAAATATCACGTCCAGTTATTTCGTACCATAGTAATCAAAGAAATCTACCACAGAATTCATTACAACATACCCAACTGAATAATACTAAAACAGTCAATGCAAATGTTGAAGCATTAAAACTGTTATCACCCAGTGTATCATTGAAATTTCTTCAAAATAATAAAGTTCAAAATAATTCAACTGGGACTCAACAGACAATGGTTTCTTTAAAAGAAACAACAACGCTGACAACGGATTTCGTTAATGGGGAAAATGATAATAATTATGAAAATTTATCTGAATACGAGCATCAAAGAGATAAGTAAGGATCAGGTTTGTTGATGATGACCGTAATAATACGTACTCAATATTGTCAACCTTTAAAACTTAGCAGTTACTATACTGAATTACTAGCAAACATTATCACTTCAAACACTCTAAAGACTTTAATATATAGACAAATGAAGTGGTAGTAATACGGCTGAAGATTTACTTTATGGTTTGTTTAGGTACGGGAACGAATGGTTATTGTGTTATTTATAGGCTACCCCAGAGTTGTGGAGACTTTTTGAAAATATATAAATTAGTAACGCTCTTACTAGTCTAAAGAATCAGATAATGAGAGAACATAAATGCATCGATGTCCAGAATATACCCGAAAAGTGTTAAGTGGTTATTTATTTTGGGCATTTTTAAGGTTCCGGGAGACGCTTTCAGAAAATTACTTAGTAACAATAGGGTAGATTATGCATTTCACTTATAAATGAAATAGTTGTTTAATTAAAAATTACAGGGTCGATACTTATTGGCAGTTCATCTCAAAGAGAAATAAGTTCATTTGAAAACAGAAGAAAGATCATTCATTACTAAGCTAATCATACCGTGAATCAGTCGTTTCGGTATAGTCATTTTTATAATAACTACTGTGGAAAAATGTTAATTCAATATGGAAGTGATTCTGTTGATTACCATTGTTTAGTGTATAGTATCAAAAATATAATCTATTAAATATAATGAGCATCGACATTGTTTATGTAAGCATCATGGAAAGTAATAGTCAGGTTAATCTCTGTCTGTCTCCTTATCTATCTACCTTGTCTAGTAGAAAACTTGAAATATAAGTATAACTTGCTAGTTCAGTTGAATTTCTATCACTGGGTCGAATCATTCATACATATTGATCCATTGATTTCGTTGACTAATAAGACAAATTGACAGAATAATACTAGCTGTCTTATGATTAGTCACCATATATATTTGAATGAGACTTTACTTAAAATCATGAACCGTTGTCATTTTTACAAAACAAAAGTCATTGAAAATATTTATAAACTGAATTGCTTATTACTGTCACTATTCATATGAATAAGTCAATTTAATCTTCTTAAAAATTAAACCATCTGAATTCATTTATTTCAGTCTAGCAAAGCAAAATGAATTGGAATGATCTCATGTTTACAACCAGTTTGCACTATTGTATAGTTTGTTCTTGTTATTTTGGTTAAAAGTTATGATTTAATAATGTAGTTGATTGATTTACGATATTTACTGATTATGTATGTTATAGGTTTTCTTTGTGTTTTTTTTAATTATCTGACCAACATGTAAGTTACTGATCATTTATTTAATAGTAATCTGACTAACAAACTAGTAGTGTATACATACACAATTGTTTGATCACTGGATGGGGATCAATGTCATATATGTCAAGTCCTTATTAGTGCAGATCGAATGTTATCGACCATGCTGCAATGTGGCCACCAGTCTAGGTGACTCGACACTGCGTGCACTATATATTGAGATTAGATGGTGGTTGGAGGTAGTCGATAGGAAACCCTGGACCCGGGTTTCGTGCTACTTGGCACTCGTCAGCAAGGTGTACCTGTAATCTTGAGGGAACTGGTGCTCTCTGGCGGATTCGATCCCGTGTCACTCAGCTTCACAGTCAGAGACATTATCACTGAGCTATCCTGACCACGATTGACCTCCTGTAGGACTGAGATGTATTCACAATTGATTGATCACTGGGTGGTGATCAATGTCATGTGTGTCAAATCCTTATTTAGTGCAGATCGAATGCTATCGATCATGTATACATAAATACATACATGTGTACATACAAATAACTTGGTAATATCTTCGTTTTTGCGAAATTACTTTTTTTTCTCCAATATAAATCTTTAATCAGAACAATTGAAAATTAAAACGTCTTAGTTATTCATGATTGAAGGTATAGTATGATAAACATGTTAATGTCAACGCCTGTCTGATGAAAACGTTAAAAGAACAAAAGTACACACATTCATATTTACACAACTTTAACAATAATTTTTTCTTTGATTTCTTCCTTAGTCTAGTCCATAATTTCTATTACTGTTTCATTATGAGTTTCAGTATGAAAATTATTGACATACATAAGTATTTTTTCTACGACATTGTTAAGATTTGTTTTACTTAAATATCATCATACATAATATTGGTATGACTAGTCATTCTAGGCTAGTCTCATCCAATTAATAAAACAAGAGAGATATAGAGGATGAATCATATTGTACATTAAATAAAGGTAAACAGTTTAATTAATTTTGATATGAATTCTGAAAGGAAGTCGATTTATCTAGTTAGTTTGTAAATGTTAAATAAAAGTCCATATCTAAGAGAATATTCAAGTGTTAAGGTATAATAACATTCTAAAGTTTAAATAACATAATTTTCACTATAAAATGGTGTCCTTGGAGAACCTACGAGAGATTAGGGAGCAATGAATAACTTTACTTTGATTAAGAACTCCTCGATATTATGTACATATATGAATCCTTACGAGCTCGAGGCCATTGCCTTCATGTTTTTTTCTTGGTCAGTATGATGTCAATTAACCACTCAATCGAGACTCGAAAGTTTATATTTACAATATCCCTCAATTCACACCATAGCATGCCCTTATCTACTTTCATCAGTGAGTTACTATCTCACACCCCACTTGATTATTGCTACAAAAAACTACTTTTCAGGATATTCGTTTCGAGGCTAATGGAGACATGATTACTATTAAATTTATCTGAATATATTTTAGATACAAAGTATTTAATCGGACTAGCTGTACTGAAAAAACATACTGGAATTAAAGTTTAAATTTATGTCTCTATCGTTTACTAACGTAGGATGCTTGTTTCAAATTTGTAACAGTCAAAACGTTGTTCAATTCAGAACCTAATGTCTTCAAATAATTTAGCACAATTTTACCTCTCTTTGAGTTTGTGGAACTGAGGAAGTTTTTAGTTGATATTATGAACCTACTTCGGTTGGACAACCATTAATAACGAATATGTACATGAAAGCTGTTTCTTTCTAGTATTGAGCTTCTCAACAGTGAGCAACGTCTACTTGGGTAGGGATCGAACTGATAATATACAATCCTCACGGTAAGAAGACGTCCCTCAAACCTCAGAATTGGCACCCAGTAATTCACACTTTCAACTTCAGATATTTGTATTTTAAAATTGTGCTCTTTTCTACAGATTAGTTAGTGATTACCGACGACATTTACTATGAATCGAAACTCGATCATTAGACTTTGAAAATGAGCGTAGAATCAAATGAATTGACGGTTTACATAAACTCATTTGATAAAGGCAAAACTACTCAACTCCATTAAAAACCCTTTTCTGGTCCATCAATTTGAAATTAAACTTTTTTATCTATTCATCACCTTTCTTTTTCAAATCAACGGACAGACACTGATGGCATATTTACTTACTGTCTCTCTATCTATTCGATTAGAAAATGATATACATAAAGGCAACCCCAAGTTAAATTAATTTTTTATTCCTGTATTCAATAGTTGATTGCTCAATTTTTTTAGGGGGGAGGAAAGAAATACGAACTTGATCATTCAATTGATTTTGTAAAATTCCGGAGTGACTGACTTGGTTTAATTAATAAATTAACGACAGAGCCGACTAGTAGACTGAACAGTGGAACCATAAACTTACTGATTGTGTTAATAAATATAAGGAGATTATAGACATTGTTTATATACGGAATAGCATGATGACAACCTAATTGTCAGAAACAAAATGTGTAACCACTCGTAAAGTTATACAGTACAGTATATTCTCCTTTTGACTGATTGATGGAAATCAACAGGTAGCATAACTTCATAAAATTAAAATGAGTCGTTTTACATTCTATCAATCATTTCAGTAATTGGTCTATCATTACTAACGTTACTATCAATATAACTATTTTGGTCAACGCTCTCAACTACTTTATTTTCTGTAGTTAAATTAGGTAGTTATGCAGAGGAACTAGAATGTAATATTTTGCATTTAGGATGTAAAACGTCCGTTACAAACATTCACGAATTATCTTCACACTACATATTATTACCAATGGTATCCAGGTTGACAAATCTATCGTTGAGTAATAGATTCAATTATATTGATGTTTAGGTGATTTATATCAACGAATCACTTAATAAGTATCAATGAAATCTTATCTTCTACTTACCAATAAGTACAAAAATATATTAATTATTTGTTTGTGTCATTCAATATCATTTAGTTCTTTTGATTGTACCATTACGTAATGCCTGAATCTAGACTATTTGTCAACTATGACATGGATAGTGGAGTGTTGGTCTCCTTAACGGTGATGCTTTTAACAACAAAAAGGCTTTCGGAATACTATTAGCAAACATGAAAACTCAACTATAATGAGTCCTGTCTATTATCTTAGATCGTACTTTAGAAAAAGTCGTTTAATTATGTATTTAGACGTAATTAGGGTGTGTAAACATTAATATGGGTGTAGATACATCCATCTGAGGAAATCTCATGCAGGATGAAACTCTTTTTCTCAGTCTAACCGCTAGTCATAATATAACAATATTATTAATAGGAGAGCTTCAACAGAGTATTTCTTATAAAAGAAACCACTTTAAAATGATTTATTAAATATTCTACAACTTGTAAGTCATGAACTGATATTGTAATAAATGTAGATCTATCCCATATAAATTTCATGCTGATTGATATAAATCAGAATATCAACTTTTCACATCATTTACTCTTTTTAAATACCCATTCGAAATTCGTAATGTACAGAACTTTAATCACAAATACACTAAACACAGACATATCATCAAACAAACGATCAATTGTGAATAAATCTAATTATGTAATAATTCTTTTCAGTTTTCTAAACTAATAATTGTCACGGAAATTGATTGATCTATAGGTGTACTGATTATACTCTTTACAGTTATTGATTCAATTATTTCATAGTGTGACATTGTTTTAATCAGATCAAATATCTCAAATAAATTAGGTTTAGAATTGTTTGTTACTTACGATTGTTCAATCATTTTTTTGTTAATAACTTTCTGTGAACGAATATATTCTGAATGAACATTCTGTTTTCTCACTGTTTAAAACACAGATTTACGCATCATTATGAAGCTTTTAAAACATAAGCCAAATGATTGGAGAACTTTTCAATAACTATTATTTGAAAGTTAACTAGGCAGATTTAATTAAAACAATTATCCTTATTTAATTATAGATTATATATATATATATATATATATATTCACCTCGTTCTTTATCTAAAATATTGTTGTTTCAATCTATGCAATAACAAAGATTGTTCAACATAATCCAGAAATCATTACTCATAGCGAATTGATGTACTATCAATTTATAACTGTAGGGAATTTTATTAATTTCAATAGTTTGCAGAGATTTGAGTACGGATTTTAGCTAAATTAATGAAAACTAAAGGTTACTAATTTGTTTCTCCTTAGTATTATTAATATTTAATCCTGTACATTATGGAGTTTTAAACTAATACCAACTGATTAGGGATTACTCTAATTTCAGTTCATTTGTAATGTCCTGTAGTTCATAAATCAGCGTAATTTATGATCCAATATCATCACTGTCGATTTCTTGTAATCAATAAAAATCCTGGCTTCGTAATGAAACTATAAAATACCCACTATGATACAAGTTATCATCAAACATTGAATTTTACCACACATGCATGATTTACAGTTGTTTAGTTGATTTAATAGTCAAGGCTTAAACAGTTTAGGTAGTTGGTGTTGAGTATATTAGTTCTGAAAATTGGATTAAATAAAAGTTTATTGTCCCATGGATTTTATTAGTTTTCCAGTTTATTTAAGTGTTTAGTGAAAAGTGTTAAAATTTAGTTTTTTTTCTTCATATATATATATATATATATTAATTTCTCTGTTTCCAAATTATTTATGATACAAATGGTGTTTATTGGAGTTGGACTTACATAAACGAATAATTTCCCAATATGTTCTTCGTGTAGTCAGTTGTAAATACTTCCGACCCTGGCACGTATGTGTATCGGTTTAAGTGGTCCAAACATATCAGTTGAGTGGGATGAAGCCATTAAGACGAATTCCTGAGTAGAAATAGTAACAGTAACAGTAACAGTACATATATACAATATGATACGTTAGTTTTCACCAAATGAAGTCACTTGAAGAGGTGTTGAAAACTAGAAATCGATGAACTCCGTGACGATATAGTGGGCCGAACTCAGGATTGTTAAGCTTAGATACGACCACAATACCACTGAATCGTTGAGTTGAAATCAAAAAGTTTACAATTTTAACTTCACTTAGTGTAGAATTTAGTGAGATCCTTACTCATTATTTGTTAATTGATAAGTATGTACACTACAGTCAAGGCAGAAAAGCTAATAAGTGATTATTCTTGTTGATTCTTTTTGAAAATCAATCATGGCGTCACCTGAGCACTGTATGGAATTAATGTGCTTGTAAAATATTTCTAAAGTGTAGAACAGTTAACCTCTTTGGTAAATTTCAGATAATATGAACAATAAGACAAAATTTATTAGAGCCTTGTGTGGTATTTTAGTGCAATACACTATATGTAGTTTGACCCTTTTATTTTTCATATGTAAATATCTTAATATGTCAATATGTGATCAGATTGTGCGATAAATTTGATCTTCTCAATGTTACCTGGATTTCTTAAGTTACCGAATTCAAATGAAATCTGACAACTCTTAGATGTCGAAATTTATATGCAAGAACTAACAAATATGCATAGGATCTTCAAACATTTTCAATAAAACCAGCTGGAAATTTAAAACATTGTTTTTCACTTCAAACTTGGGGTTTTTAAATTGTATTATTCTCTGTTTATCATGTTATATGTTAAGGTATATCATGTCAATGAATTTAAAACATGACTTCATCAAGAATTCAGCTTCATAGACGTTCTTGTAATCTTGCAATTATATACAAACTTTCAGAAATGATTATGAAATTATAACATACCTGAATCGAATTTTAAACTATTCCATTAATTTCTTTTTATATTTCAACTATTGATTTTATTATAGAATCGCTTTAACTGAATAGATTAGTTCTTAATAACTTATCCACCAAATTCTGTTACACCCAAAATTTACTAATAATGTGCTTTACCCTTTAGTCAGAAAATGCTGAATTCACTAATTAGCTACACATTTTTCCCTTACGCTTTCAAATAACTAATTAATATTTTGATAAGTAACTGCATATTATGTATAACGATTTCAGTCGTATAATTAACTAACACTGAGACCTTAAATGTCCATTCTACCTCATCTGAAGTCATTTCCGTAAGATTCACTTTATTCTTTGACAATAAAGTTGATCAACAAATCAATCGTCCTCTTAAAACTGAGACAATCTCACTGCTCCACTAAGTCATTATGGGATGGAACAACTGTTCAATACTCCCTAGTTTTCAATATTTGTTGAACTAAAGTCAGTCTGTGATGTAAAACTATAAAATTAACAATCTCCATAATTCTCTGTAATAAGAATCAATAAAGTTTACTTGTATTATCATTGTTGATTAGCTGAACCAAGTTCACCGTTAATGTATGTCCAACTTTGGGTCTTTTCCAGTTAGTATATTTATCATATATTTATACGCTAATATTTTCTTTCTATATGAAAAAAATTACATTCTGTTTATTTTTAAAATAAATACTTTATTTCAGTAATTATACAACTACGACAAAATCATCATCACCGGTGCCATCCTCTTTGTTAGATATGGAAGAGTCTCAGTCATATAATACAGCTGTTTCAACGACATCTAAGAGTTTTAGTGATATAGGAACACAGACAGTCAATCATGATACATTTGATGGTTATAATAAAAATGGTAGTAATAGTAATAATATTGGTTTAGACACTAGTCCAAACAACCAATCATTACTAAACGGGAATTATACACAAGATATTTACCGTGGCAGTGATCAATCATCAGAAATGAACTCCTATTATGGTTCTCCATCGCATTATCAACTTTCATCGGATTCATCTCATAACTTAAAATCTAATTGTCACCAACATCAAGAATTATCATTTAATGCAAAAAAATCATTTTTGAATGGGAATAAATTTCAACTAGCACCAAAACAATTAAATGGAAGTCAGAATTCATTGTTACATTTGACAAAATCATGTCGAAGTCCGACATTATCATCTTTTTCTTCTTGGTCATCAACTCATTCTTTATGTTCAGTAAATTTAATTGGACAACGTGAATCTGCAGAGAATAACGGTAGTGATACTATGCCTGTTAAAAAGGTAGACTACAATTGAATGAGTTATTGTTATTATTATTTTATCTATTTATTAATTTATTATTGAAAAGATTGAGAATAGCCGTAATTTGTGAAGTTTTAAAAAAAGCCTTTTAGTGAAATGACTCAAATTAACAATGTATGAACCATTGGTTAATTAATCTACTTACTCTTGCATAAAGTTCAAACTGTAGATTAAATTTCAACTATAAAAGTAGATTTCATAGCCACATTCATAAAATTGTATTTAATAAATGATATTATGTTAAAATTAAGATTAGAGTCATTCTGTACTCGCCTGTTTTGAATACTTTATCAAACAACTTCAGACCATGAATAAAACCATGTACATATTAATCAATTCCTACTGAACTTCGTATTTTTTATATGCTCCGATCTTACATTAACACAACTATCTATCCTTTTTTTAATCATAATATAGGTTTTACAATCTTCTCACAGTACGCATAATATTCGAAGTACACCACAAAAAACTTTAGTCGATGTAGAATTGAATAATCATAAATCTAATCATCAGATTCAGTCAAATGAAATAAAAGTTCCAACTAGTCAAACCAATTATTATTTACCGATTCATCAACTGCAAAAAAATACTAACAGTACTAAAAATAATTCAAGTTTACATTATTTATCTTGTGAACAAGTACAATCCCCTGATTTTGTTAATAAAACATCCAAAACTTGTTATTATAGTCCTGTTTCACAAAATCGATCAGGGCAATCAATTCGAAAAGTTATTGATTATCGTAATCCACTTTATCCAGGATTTAAAAGACAGAATAAAGGACTACATGTAACTTCATCAACGGTAAATCTCTGTCAAACTCCTACAGATTCTCCAAACCACAAACGATCTGGTAATTATCCAGCTAGAATTATTGAGAGAGCAAAGTTGTAGACCACATTGGATGATTGTTGTTTCGTTGCTTAAGAATGAGAATTTCAAAGATAGTTTTTTGTAAGTTTGGTTTTTATTTTCTTTAATGATAATTTATTTGGATTTCATGAATAGTCACCATCGTGTCACAGTTTAAAATAAGTTTATTCTGATCAATATATGATCAGAATTGTAGTCATATTACATCCTAATCTATATTATAATAATCGTCATATGTGAAATATTGGTGAATAATAACTCAGGGTAGAAAGTGTGAACTGCTAGAATGTTCCAAACTAGGATACAAATTGTATTTCAGTGATCCTCTAAATGATGTCAACCAGTAAAAAAAGTGCTTTTGAATTCTCAAAATCTACACAAAATAATATTCGTCTCTTCGATAGGGATTGAGTTTGTAATGGGTTTCCTAAAGCTGAAGTATGAAATCATGGCCTGCAAAAGCAATCAATCTGCTTGAAATTACTTAAATTTTAGAATATAATGTAATCCCATTATACTAATCTGAAGAAATACGATCTGACTGGTCTGTGATATGGTCATTAACTACACTAACTGCTAGAAATGCAAACTAATGGTTTAGACGATTGGGCGCTCATCGTTGGGCCTGCAGCTACTGGGTTTGATTCCTAATGGGATTGTGGATGTAAACTGATATGGAGCCCCATACTAGGATTCTTAACTGTCCAATAGCTACGGGTTTTCAATGGTTGTTGAACTAAAGCCACACCTTGGTATAAACTAAAGATTTTTTCCACTTGAATTTTGACCAATAAGATACTAGATGACTAAATTAACTTCGGTTAATAAACCATTTAATCAGGCACTTTTGTGTGAACGACTGTTCAGCTTTAAGATAACTTGTATCACGAACCGATACCAAGTAAAGAATTTCAAAACCATAGCATATATCAACTGTTTCGCATTACTCTGAAACTCCCAAATATCTCTCAGTCACAACTATTCGTTGTATCCTTCATTCCATTGTGAAATGGGTTGAAGCACTAATTTATCTAATTTCCATTTAAAGCAATTATCAGAGAATGAAGAAAGTGAAACTCAGATAATCCATTAATTTTAGTATAATTCGTCTATCAAATATTTCAAATATATATCAGACGTCAGGATCAACATCCACATAAATTAAAGGTTGGATGCTCTATACGAAATAGCCACCACCTTTTGAAATCTTATACACACCTTCGTGTATCGATTGTATTCAGTGGATATGATTCGCTGAATTTCATGAATCCATTTAGTTCACTTATACCCATCTATCATTTTGGTTAGAAGGTTCGCACAAAATATTAAACAATCAAAGTGAATCTGCAAGAAGCTCCGAAATGTGTTTATGTGCTTATTAGCACTCATTTACCAAAGTGTGTGTGTAAACTGAGAAAATTTAAATTGCATCACTCAGTACCAGAGTTGTCAGTCCTACCACTATTTACATATATTAGAAAATGTGAAAAGTTCATTTCGGCAAGACTTTATCCTCATTCACTCAAATATCCTTCCTTATTTTAGATTTGACACCTGAAATAATACTTCTTCATCCGTGCACACTAAACAAATAAGAAAAGATATAGGTGCACAACGAAGAACTATTTTGATTAATATAAGTTGATCACAGTTTAAAAGCAAAACTCAGTAAACATTGAATAACAAATTATTTCACTAAATAAGCTTCAGTGCTAATCAACATCCTTCTAAAATATACCTGTTACCAGTTTGAATAATCGATTTCCTAAGATTTGGATTTTCGAATAATTTAAGACTAATTTATGACCAATAGAGGGATGATTTTCGATTATGTTAAAAGCAATATCTCCAAAACTATTTAAAATAGTTACTGTATTTGAAGCACTTTACAATAAACTTTCTCTATATACCTCTTTATCACAACTAGCTTACCATGTCAAAAACTACTCAACGTTGCCCATAACGACATAAATTTAAGTAACGTGATACCAAAACCAAGCCTGATATTGTCGATATTTTGTTCAAAATTTCGCTTTAAATAATTCATATTTGATAACGAAGCCAAGAGCTCATATAGCTTGCATAAAGCGGCTTGAATTTCATCATCAGTCTAGCAAACGAAATAAATAAATCAGCAATACTATACACCAAATTTTCTGCTAGACGGACAGTATGAAGCTTTGAACTTACATTTCGTGCTTATGATGTCTCAAAAGCAGTATGTACTGACAGCTATCAGAAAATTCTGTTCTTGCAAACATCCTAACGTGTCTGACTCGAAACTTCGTTTTGAGACATCCCCCACTAACTGCGTAGGCCAACTGACGAGTCTCACTAAGAACTAAATATCATTCAGAGGTTTCATGGAATTACTCTCTAATTAGCGACCTCAGTCAACTACATGTTACGACACCAAGTTCTATCGAATAATAATACTGGTTTTACTGGATGCAATGAAGAAGCCCCCCCCCTGTAGTGTTGAAATAGAATTCTCCATTGTAACCATGTAAATTATAAATATCCAAGTAATATATATAAGAGATTTTACTTGTAATTAGATACCATTCACACTCATTGGTAAATGTTTACAATCGGTCTTGCCTCCGTATTATCTCTTTCTATTCTTTATTAGGTTTGATGTATGAATTCTATAGTAATCCCTTTTAGTATATCCAAAGGATAAAGAAAGATAAAAATAGGCTAACCACTGAAATGAGACCGATTGCGTTTCTCAAAAACTAAGTTCGCCAGATATTGTACATATTTTGTGAGTGCACAAGTACACAACATTAGAAGAGATAGTTTGTTTCTGACAACAAATACATTTTTAAAAAATGAGGCCTCGAGATTTACATCAGGTCCCCCAAAAATTTATGCTACTAATCTACTTCCACAACAGATCGATCACAGCCCAATTATTATCACCTGCCTCCAACTAATATGTGTTCGAATCACCCAGACATTTTCATAAGTCAAACGCTTTTTTGGCATATAACACTATCTTAAATTGATAGTTTAAAAGACTGAAATATACTCATTCACTACCTAATCATATGATTATCAATGCCAAAATACCGAACCATTTTATTGAAACATTTACCTAGTGTATAAAATATTAATTAAATTCTTTGTTAAATTATAAATTATTTACTAGTTAGCTTGTTTGATTTTTAACTCTATTTAAAATGATGAATGCATTTACAATACGGTCGTTATGGTAACACTCTTGTTGTGCCACACACACACATATATGTACGATGTACATTACTAATTTTTGTAGGCCCGAATAGGGAAATATCTGTTAGCAAAAAGTAGGTCATAAGACTTTACTTTAGAACGCTTTTTTACATCATTTTATCTGTTCAGTCTACAGCCATTTATTTCTTTGGAAAAAAATGCTTAAAATGAGATTGAATATAAAACTAATTTTATGATGAATATATTAAAGCATGCGATTTTCCAAATATTTCCAATTACATGTAATTTCATTTAGAGATACAAATAAAACATTCTATTTAACCGTTTATTTTTTCGCTTTAAAGGTAAGATGTTTTAACGTATTTATACATTGATTAGGTATGTGAATTATCAGTAATGTTTAATATTCACAGCCTGAAACCATTGATTAGAATATTATTCCTTAACACCGTTCATCAAAGGGATGTATTTATTATCTTTGTGATAAGGTTTTATACCATACAAAAATATATAGTGTTGAATAAGGTGGTCACTATTATTAGTTATAAAGGAAAACATTACAACTAAGAGTTGATTGTCAAATCAATTCATTTTTGTAAGCTATCAAACTGAACAAATTCTAAAAACCACAATCCCAATAATCAAGTTTTCATTTAAGCCCATTTCATAGCATTTTCTAACATCCAATCAAACAATACACTAAATACAAGTTATATTGAATAATTATTTAACGTGTAAACGTTAGTACTCAATCAACAATAGAGTTTACTTTTATCTATTATTACTGTTTCGCACAGGTTTTCCATTTATTTAATACATAATGATGATAATGTAACTCGTTTGCCAAGTACAGATTATTGTTCCTCGTCTTTGAGAAAAACTTTATGTGTGCCGGTTAGTGATATTTCCCGGCAAACCAATGTATTAGAAGGACGCGTGCCCGAGACCTAGTGACTGAAATTTGTAATCTCTAAATGATATATCTCGACGAAAATAATGAATGCTAACTGTTGGGGTCCATTTGTGGAATAATACTATACATATATTTTTATTTTATAGTTATTAAGTAGCTAAACTATGCATATTTATGTTCCTTTTATTATAAGCTTTATTTTGACCCATAGACTATTGTTATACGATTTACCATTCTTGAGTTATGCCCATTCTATTAATTACAGTCTCCCACATTCACAGCTACTTTTGGTTAGATCTTGTACAAATGTTGTTTCCTATTTTGTTGTGCGATGTGGTCTGTTTGGTTTGTCTATAAACCCAGTATGTTTGAAACAAATTATTCATATCGCGGAGGCTGAGATTGGTGTTCTGGACTCAACAGGCAGGGCTAGACAGAAGAAGCGATAGGGAATCCAGACCTCCCGTACTGGTTTACGCGTCATTGGTCCGTTCGATAAATCACTATTCTCTAACTGGCGATATCATTACGTTATATATATAGGGCATAAGGCCACATGTTACGACACTAACCATTAAGTCTCCTTCTACACCGTTTCTCTTCTCTCTAATATATAGCTGGAAGTTAGTATAAAATGATCTTTCTTAACATGATGGAATTCATCGATGTTTTGCAACACCCAGTTTGTTAACTATGAGCAAAATCAATTCTAAATGGACTTTCTCTGCATGTATTGAGGATAAGTGATCATTGGTTGAAATTTACTTAGTTGTTTTTTAATACATAAAATTTAAGTATATAATTGAATGAGTCTAAATTAAATCATACAGTAACGTGCATTAATTATTTTCCTTATTTTTGGTAATATTATTCTATGTAACGACAACAGAGTTGAAATATCATATCCATATATTAACGTCTAAGAGTTATTTATATCATCATAAAGGATTTCAAAAAGGATGGGTTAAATGTTAGAGTTATTGATTCATACTTCTAATGCTTAACCACCATGCTATAGAATGAAAGAAGACAGAAACTTCATGAGAGGTTTTCTTGAGAAATTTAAATAATAAGGTACCCAATTCATGTGTATATATTGCATAATAGATCCAGATAGGGACATATGAACGATAACTCTCGCTTGGTTGTAAATTGACCACTTACACATGAATCTCCCAACTATCGTGTGGCCTTGCAGCAATGTATGATCCACTAAGACTTTTCAAATATATTACTTTCTGCTCTTGGAAAGTTCTCTTTGTATTCACGTGTATCATCCGAATTTTAATTCTCGAATAAAAGAATGATTGAAGACACGAACAACTTAAGATTACTAATATATTTATAATGCTTATAGGGGAAGGAAAACAAGTGCTAGATTAGAACCAATGTGGAAAAACCATCTCTAACTGCAGCAATAGTGAAGGGCATCTAGAATGCAAAGGGGGTAAAACTACGCTGAAGGTATAGAACACTAGAATCTTTCAGCACTCAGTTCAATACCATTTAATAAATTATTTTCTATTTTGTCAAAACAAAAATCAATTAACGTGACATGCTATCAGCCTTTATATTTATACACTGTAGACATCAAAATACTCATTTTTAGCAGATTAAATGATATTCGTTAAGTAGTATTAGACTAGTGGATCATTTATAAATTTAATACGGATTATTTTTACTCTGACTACTGATTAGTGACAAAAATTGTTAGAACAGTACTTGGTAAAATGATGGTTTAAATTATAAAAATAAGTCATCTAGGATGTTTCAAATCCCCAGTGGGGTTCATTCTATATCTAGTGGGGACAATTATCCACTTCAGACAATGGGTGGGGGTTTTGCAAGATCATGGATCGATTGAAGTCAGACATTCACATCGTTGGATGTCGACCCAGTGGTCTAGAGGTTAGATGTTCCTATGTGAGACCGGAAGTCCTGTGTTGGAGTTCCACGTTTGGGATTGTGGATGCGCACCACTGTAGAGTCCCACACTAGGACAAAAGTCTTCCATTGCTTTCAAAATTTCAGTGATGGTCCAACTTAGATACACTCATGGATTCAACTATTTAAAATACAGTTGTCTTAGAGACTAGAACCTAGGTAAAATTGAGACTTGAAAAGTACTTATACTTGTTTAAAAATTCTTAATAATCACACTTAAACAAGTCAATCAAAAGATGATTAACTATAATAATCCCAGATTAGATATTGACACTTATTAATTTACAACTTTTAATTATACTTCAGCATAACGTCCAATGCTTCTTCACTATAGAAACTTCATTAAACAGACTTGGAGGGGTGAACTGGTGGTTTTATTTTAGTTTATTTTGTCCCACGACAATCGAACACATGATTAAGTTCATACATCTGCAATTGCCAATATTAATGATGACATAATCAAGAAAGAAACCCTTTGAGTGAATTTTAACTTTATTGATTATTATCTAATACTATATATAAATGAATGTTCAAACATGAAACTAAAACCCTAATTAAATATTATTAACAGTTTTATTCTATGCATTATAAATTGTTAATATAATATAGATTTTATTTTTTTGCATATAATTAACCTTCTTAGACATAATTTTCAAAGCTCACCACTTTTTACAACTTGGTCTGATACACAATTATTGTTGTTTATGCACATCTTTAATTTAGTTCATTACTATCCATGTATATTACAAAGACTAATTCTTTTACGTTTGTGTTTGCATATTAGTGTAGAACTTTTATTACTGTTTTTGATAATATTTTGGTATTTCTTCACTCATGAAATATTCATGTGTATACTCATTAGACCATTGGATTTGAATCGAGACCAATGAGCCAAGCTACCCTATCAAAACTGTTTTTAACCAGCAACTATCACTGAATGTCATGATCTCTGGGTTGGGATTATTGAACTAAAAGAATTAGTCACAGATATAATGAATAGAAAAGTGAATTTCTAACATTTCATTACTTCATAGAAGCTTCAGACTCACTACTGGATCCAAGGTGTTTCGCTGACTGACTCATATCCACTATTAAGATGTTTAACTAAATTTAATTCGTATATTGTCATAAATGTAGTCAGAGAATCATGTAGGTAACGGTATCTGTAACTGGAAAGAAAAGTTAACAATATAAATGTTCTAGCTGATATTAAGTTCCATAGTTTCAAAGAGCATTATTTAGTGTGAATGTAAAGATATTTCTGTTCAATAGCTAGAGAGTTTACAATAAAAACGAAGTTAAATAAACTATGGAACTTTCACAACTATCCAGCTGTATAATTTGTGGCTAATATAATATTTTAAGACCTTCATTATGTATAATATACATAACCTGTAAGTACTATCCAGGTACCGACGAAAACGGACTCGTTAAGTTAGGTAAGTGGGGCAAATCTCATTCTTATAAAAGAGTAAATTCGACCACGACTTAATAGTCGATTGTTGAACTGTATTATTATTATTGTTATTATTATCACTGTGTTCGAACGAAATGAAGCTTCAATGTATGAAACATTCAAAAGAAGCGTTGTATGTTGAAAACTAATCACCATGATTTATAATTTACTTGATCCTAGATTTAAACCACGTGAATTGGAATAACCTCCGTTAGACCTATATTTCACTGAATGTATACAATCGATCAATTAATCGTTTGCTGTATTTTACCTTGTGTACTTCCTGTGATTATGACAACGACAAATAATGAAAAATGAAATCAAAAAAGAGAGAGTTGAAGTGATAACGTAACATTTTCTCATGTACTATCTTTTCACATAATGATTATAATTCCTTTCATGATTAATAATTGATTCAAATTTATTAGTTTATCAATTACAGTGTTTATTATCATTATACAATCTGACAGATTTTGTAGTTCCATTTCAATCTTAAATGAATTTAACTTTATCACAACAGTCTTTTCATGAAATTAGCAAGATTTATGTAAACTTTTCTATCTACTTTAATCGTTTTCTATTTATATATATTCAACCATCTATTACTGCAGAAATGAAGCTGTTTTAATGATTGACTCTAAACGAAAACACTCGAGTGTTATTTCTTTTCAAAAAAAAATATTATTTTATTGAACTCATTTATTTGCTTAGTAGAATGTATATTTGTGTGTATATACGCACTCATTTTCTGTCTAAACACCTTGATTATATGTGTACAAAATTTTCATGATTTGGATTGACTTAATTTCTTCTTTTGTAACTACTGTAGTGAACGAGAACACAAGTGGGGACAATCGAATGTATTTGGATACAAAATTACAGAATCTCTTAGTAAAATCTGAGAACCATGAAGTAAATACTTCATTTGCAAAATATCTGTTGATCGTTTCAGAATTCATTGTTCCTTTGTTTCCATACCAATCATTCTCTGTTCTCGTTTTCTTTTCTTCGATTTTCCTAACCTTGTTCCTCAAGGTATTTCACTTTCGACTGGTGATACATACTACTTATATCAGTCTATATGAATAGCGTACAACACACTACAAGCTCACTGATAATGTCTTGTCGCTAACTCGAGAAGGACAAGTAATAAATAAATTCGCTTTGTATCGACAGGATTTTTGAAAACTAAGAGATTGTAGTTTGTATTTGCCACAGATTGATTTTGGGCGAAGGTATCATTGAAGACCAAAAAGCACTAGACAACCGTTTCGTTTTAACATGAGACTCCGTTAAATTAATCCAGTCTCTACAAAAGCCCTTCAATTAAACTATCAAAAGATTGGTTTACTAATCCGTAGAGAAAACTATATAAATGGTTGGAGATAGAAGTTGATATAGCACAATTTGATAAACGTAGTGCAGGTTCTTATAATGATAGCGTGGATTAAAGGGACAATAATAAATCGATTGCACTAAGCACCACGTAAATCACTGAGATGCACAAATGTCAGAAGATGACAACGTGTAGACGATGATTGGAAAGAGCTATCACTGTTGGTTGGTCTATGTTGATCAAGTTTCAGTCGGTCCGTAGTGTTAACTGGTTAGACATCATGACAATTCTTTATTTGGTGTTATACATGTTCAAAGTAATTTGAGTAAAACGTTGGATTTAGGTTTCATTCTATGTGGGATTTATTACTAAAGCGTTTCTACAAACTTAATAGGATTTATACTCCCTCTACCCTCCATTTTAAACTTTTCTTCTGAAATAGCATTTCTGTTCATAAAATTAGACGATCCTTATTGGAATCTCAAGTAGAACATCGGTTTCTTCAAGACTGAGTGAAAAGCTCGTCGAAGAGCATCAACCAGAACTAAATCTCTCTAGGGCTTGCAGGGGAATTGCTTCAAGTACGAAACACATTGTAACTTCAGATCGCCTAATCAATGTCCAGATAATTATTGACAAATGTAATATAAGGAAATCTGTGTAGATGATTTTGGCAAATCATTTGTTGTTAAGAAATGTATGTACGAAAATCTAAGACCAAGCAACTGAAGAGCCTGAATTCTAAAGATTTCCAGACATGTTTCGAACAATGGAAACAGAAATGGGACACAAATATGTAGTATGCAGTGGCTTCGCTTCGTTAATCAATCATCTTGATAACCGTTATTATATAAATCCCAACAATGTTCGAAATCAGAAGGCAATAAGAAGCAGTAACTACAATTTATTAGCTACAAGTGCATCGAGCGAGTTTGAACCAGCTAGGTGAATATATGTATGCGAGCAAATACAGAGGCAAATTTGTAGTCAAACTGAATAAGGGCATAGCAAGACAAAGCAAAGGCAGTCAAAAGAATTCGAGTACATATATACATGGGGAAGAGAATGATTCATCGAGCTATATTTAAGCTATCAACATTTAAGCGTAGGCTGTCATGTGTGTTAGATCTAGAGCTTTGATTCTTGATATACTGCGTACAACTAGAGCACTCGAATACTGGATGGCTCCAAGTCACAAGTGAGAAGACGGAAGACAAGTGAAAGGAATGCTATTCCAAATAATTCCAAATATGGTACAAAACTCTCCGGTAATTATAGTTTTTAGTAAAAACGAAATCATTATGGTCATCAAATCCACATACACGGGGTTCTTAGTATTTGTCCAATTGGGAAGCTACACATAGAGATTCTGGAATTTTCTTCCAAAAGATGATTGGATGGAATATCTTTGGCTCCTTCTGAGCTTCTTAGAGCTTTCTCGAGTTCACTCGTGGGCTGTCCTCAGAATGTGATCATCAGTACACATTTATACGGACAAGATAGTGATCATAATAGTACAAAAAATAGACGAATTATTACTGTTCAAATAACATTGTCTGTTAAGTGAGTTAATAAAATGGCTTAACAAAATCCAATCATAATCGAAATTGATTGTAGGATAGTTGCTATAAGTATTTTCAAGAAAATAAGTTCATTTTACCCTAAAGTTTATAAAAAAAATTGTTATAATCTAAGTCATCACAATTATTTAGTAGACCACCTAGTTAGTTTTATAAGTTGAATGTATAAAAGCGTAATTTATTGCTATCGATTTCACACTTTTATTTAGTGAGTTCAATAAAACAAAACAAATATCAAAGTTTCAGACTGTATTCTAAAATATTTTCTGCATATGATGAACTTGAAAACACGTAGTTATATCATAAATGAGAAATACCTGTCTTTTTATCCATACAATTGAATCGATTAGTTTATGTTAAGAAAATCTGTGTAAAATTCCATCTAATTAACCTATTCTATTATTGAATGTAATCAATCATATTTTTTGAGATTCCTTTTGTCTGGAGTAAAACATTGATTTCAACCTCTTTGTTGATCTCAATTATGTTATGTTAAATTCTATTCAATCAATTGTTAGATTAAATTAGAAACTTCCGAGCATGGTGCATAGAAGGTGAATCACCAATTAACTAAAAAGCCATATTCGTTATCATCTCAATTGGATTATTAATTTTTAGATAATCTTTCCAGGTATCGAACCTAGAATCTTCAAGTCTCATGGTGAGTACAATACTTTTTTAAACTACTAGGTTGGATTTGAAATTTCCGAATTTAGAACATTCTCACTTTAGTGCTATGATCATTCAACCCCTTTGCTGACTTCATTATCTCACTTTTAATATGGCTTATAAACAAAACTTTTCCATAAACCAACCAACTTACCTGTTTATTATGTTACAATTATCAAGCCATGTCATGTTGTATCTATTATTATTGGTTACTACATTGACTGATAAGTTAAATATTGATCCTTCAGTTATATACCATTTCTATCAACAATGATAGTAAGTAAATTGTAGAACAAAGAATATAATTCTCCATTTTTAAATTTTTCAGACTGTTCTTATAGCTAAGCACAAACTCATCGACCTTTCTTATCGAATACCAGACTAACGCTATAGTAAGATCAAATTCTACATAAATAAAAAAACACAACTTAATTTCAATAGTTGAGATCATGAGTCAGTTGAAGCTAGACCAGCATGGAAAACCTGGAAGCCCTGGACGGCCGTTTCGTTCTATCGTGAGAACCCTCAGCAATGCGAACCCACGACCCTGCCTGCTCACTGGTGACTGATTTCAAGAGGTATTTCCTGGAGTTCTAGTGAGAAGCAGTGACCAATGGAGTTCAACCGGTCTGCTGTGAGATAGTAACTGACTGATAACAATAGTGGATATGTCGCTCAATTTCGTGGACTAGTTGAAGTCAGATATTGACAGCGGTGAGATTACTACAATCTCCACAAAACCCCTTCTGATACTAACATAACTTAGTGTTTGTATTTAAGTTAGGAAACAAATTTCTGACGAATCAACCTCATTTAGATTTTCTCTATTGTCTTCACTTGTTATTGATAAATTCATCCCCAAGACTCATACTGAAGGATAAAGGAATGAATTTTAAATCTATAAACGATTTTTATAGTTACACATCATTATTAAATAACCAGCTATTCTATATACATCCTTTACCATTAACTACAATTTTCAACTAAGGAATAAAGAGAAAATAAAGCGTTTATTGAATAATATTATTGTTGAAACATAATTATTACTCAGTAATTCAGAATGAACGAACTAGTCTGCACGTAAAGTGATATTTATTTAGGAAATTTACTATCAACCCCCCACGACTATGTTATCAACTATATGTTAACTCTACACAATGTGTTACAAAATTTCCTTATTCCCAAACTTCCAATCAGAACAGCAGAAGAAAAAACAGTTGGTCACAGATACTTTTTAGGATTTTGACTTACAGTTTGTGTGGTCATATAAGTGAGGGTGAAGACCATAAAACCTTGATAAACGTATAACTAGGTTATGTTCGATGCAAGCTATGTAATAAAATTATGGTCAACTGTCAGGTATTTTCAAACTATAAAAGATATAGTAATAAACAGTTAATCAAAAGGATGCTTTTAATTAAAAATATATAAAAGACACTGTAAAACAGTAATTAAATAATTACTTTTTCTAAAAATATATGAGCTCATTAAAGAATAACTACCAAATTTTAAATTATTTCATTTCCTACATCTATGTAATAATAAAAGGTGTATGACTTTAGTTGAAGATATGTTCTCCGTGTTCACTTATGACCTATTTCTAAACCTAAAATATTAGCAAAATCTTGTTGTTCAGGAAGATTCTTTAGAGAACATGTTTGGAAATAGACAACATTCAATTATTTGAGTCGTACGAAGATATAAACGTAATCTTTCCAAAAAAAATATGAATACTTGTTGAATAGTGTGATATGATTAAATTTTCGCCATTAAGTTTATAAATAACTGATACCCCTGTACATATAAAGTTTACATTTCTTAATGTAAGGGATTTATTTAAAATAGATGACACTATGTATCGAAATTTTTAATAAAATGTGATTTTTCTTTTGAAGTTTAAGTGAATATAAGGATGTGGTTTTTAACATCACAATTTCAATATACCTATTTTACTACTGAAATTTATTAAGTAGGCTAAAAATGATTGAAATTTATCTAAAATTTCTACCAATGTTATCGAATTGCTGAATCAATTCAATTCATCCATTACAATGAAATATGCGGAATCTTTTTGATAGAACGACTATTTCTCCAACCTTTTGTTTACACTAATGGCAATCTTCCAAATCCGAATAATTTATGAAATATGAAAAGTTAATACATGGTTAAATGCGTAGTTTAGTCATGTCTTTCTCTTAATAAATGAAGAACAAGGGTGACAAAAAGATGACCACAAATATGTAAAACAAACAATGTCTACAATTTGTGTAGTTTCATCTTCTCATAATCATGAGACCTGAAATTTGTTGTTATCGGAATAGATGGCACGTAGAACACGTCCTATTTTCCTTGAGATTATTTTAATAATTTCCTAATGAAAGTACCACTGAAACTATTATTATTTAACTCTGAAACTCCTATGATCTCATGAGCTATTCCGTTGATCTTTGAACAACGTGGATGGTGAATTTGTTAAAGGCAGTTTTTGTAGATATATAATTTTTGAGTGGTTTTATCCTCTTCAGCTTATTTCTAGAGTGATGTTGAGTGAATTTTGTTCCGTTTTATTGACAATGTGATAATTAC